TTTATCGCGGCTGTAATAATTATATACTTTGTAAGCAGGGACCATTGAAATACCTCGACGCCAGGACGGGTGAGAAGTGGTCTTCATTTGTTGATCGCTCAGGTAATTCCACTCCACATCAGCTGGGAATTCCTTATGTTCAACGAGAAAGGCGGCGTACACGTTCAGAGCGAAAAAATCTGCTGTTCCTTGAATGAGTTGCTTTTCTGCCTCACTTATTTCTGGAAGTCTGACAGGATACAAAATTGCATTAAAGTAAGTATGGAGAAAAACGGCGACAGTTTGTCCGAAAGAAATCGAAAGGGAGCTTAACCGTGCGGCAAAACTCCATTTTTATTGCGGATGGCGAGCAGGGATGGCGCACTGGTGAGAGCGCTCGCCTCCCACCAATGTGGCTTGCGGGTTCGATTCCGGCCCGTTGTCATATGTGGGTTGAGTTTGTTGTTGGTTCTCGCCTTGCTCTGAGGGTTTTAATTTTCTGCGGGTTCTCTGGTTTTCCTCCCTCCACAAAAACCAATAAGTCCAAATTCCTATTCGACCATGATGGAGGACCCGCATAAAACACAGTAGAGGCGAGCCTGCAGTACGGGCGGATTAGCGGGTTCTAGCGCGATACACGAGCGTGCGCGCGTAGCGTGAGACCGAGCGCGAAGCGCGAGGAGAGAAAAATCCGCATTTAGTCACACCATTGTTCATGCTCTACCGCCCCTTGAAATGATTGGCATGAAAGAATGAGGGAGAACAAAACAATTCAATATACTGGCGGGATAAAATGTCTCAAATAACCAATAATTTACAAATGTGTACAGACGCAAAGCAGTTAACAGACGTGAACATCTAAATTTACCTAAATTTAAATCATGTGGTGCCAAACTCGGCGAGCAAAGGAGGTACATGTATAAACCTAAACATCGAGCTCAGGAGACGAAAAGCTCGAACAAATTCTGGATGCAAGAAACATGACGACACGGAAAGGATCTCTAAGATTCTCGAAGTAACACTACAGCAGTCTCTGGCGACGCCGGACAAAGCTAAATAGTCTAAATATGATCCGTGGTGAAAAGCCATATAACTTAATACAGTTTTAATTTAACAACCGGGCTCGGCGTCATAATATAGAATGCAAATAATCAATGTTGGTGATCACCGACTTTGTCCCTCCAGAGCGAACAATTAAAGAGATACAACATATCTTTCTGCACTAGAAATGAGGCGAGACAAACAACACTTAACTCGGCACATGGCAAATTATAGAGGTGTCAAACTCTGCAAACAGCTGAAACTATGCAGAGCTCTGACCTCTAACAGTCCAACGGCTCTACTCTACTTTTAAAAACGTCATCCTGATAACACAACATTAAGTGCCCTTCAGAAACAAGTGAAGAGCAAAATAAAAGGTTGAGAGGCTGGAATTTATAAGAGAACGGCAAACGTAGAAATGTTACGAGCCTTAGGAGTTCGTATAGGCCTGTCACCCGAATCAAACATATCTTGTTTTTTCTCGCGTCTGACGTCACGCAGCTTAAAGCAACCAATCAGCAAAAACCGTTCGCCAGGCGAACGGTTGGAAGAGCATAAACAATGGTGTGACTACAGGCGGAGTTTTCTCGCCTCGCGCTTCGCGCGCGCGCTCGTGTATCACGCTAGAGCCCGCTAATCCGCCTGTTCTCCAGGCTAAGTTGAGGCCGATAGGGCTTCCCTTCTAAATATTGTAATTTATTTATTATTTATTTCGCTGTTTGTTCTTGTTTAGTTTTTTTAGACTCAGGACTGCGGGAAGCGCATCATGATGTCTTTAAGTTTCAATATTCTTCCTACCTATTTGGAATTCCTTTTGCTTCGCTTTTCTCCTTCACAATTTTCTTCATGACGTCAGGCCAGTCTCCATTGACAAACACTGGATGAGCGAACCACCCGAGCCACCATTCTATGCTGCGGTCAGCGGCGTCTTTGTCAGCTTGCTTGTCTGACTTGGGTTCCCCCCAATGCGCGTTGAGGATTATGGATACTTTACCTTGCTGTGTGGCACGGAAAACTTGATCATAAGTATGCCACGCCTTGGCATGAGCAAGAAGCATTACATGTGCAACTATCGAAAAAAAAGTCAATTTTGCTTTTATGTTTTAGGTCTTTGGACAGAGTAACTCTTATTTATTTCTCAGTACATCTTGGTTTTCTTAGTTATTTCTCAGAACATCCTTAATCCCCCCTATGGGGACTGGTGATGAATCTAGCGCCTGATCGAGTAGATCTGGACCTGAGTTCTCCATTTGATTAATGGTACTAAATTTACACGCGTAATGGCATTAAATGGCATTCTTGACGTAAGCAAAATTATGAAACTGAAAAAAATCAAAAACGTCCAATGATTTCAGGTTTTTGTGATTATCTTTCAAGATCAAAATTTAAACTGGCGGAAGCGTAATTTGAATTAGGGGGGCTTACAAGTAAGCGACGGAGGCGCTAACTTGTAGGGGGTCTGGAGATATTTGTAAAATTATTATTTTTGTATTTTTTGCCCCCCCCCCCGGCTCCGCCGTTCCTGATATAATAAGCCAAATTATTCTTGAATTTTGATTGGTTTTTACTTATGATCATTAATTGAGAACAGACGTATAGATGACGTCATTCAACCTTGTTCCCAGGCTCTCTCATCTTCCTGGGAACGAGGTTGGACGTCATTAACTTTTGGTTTTGTTTCTTTATTATCATGTACGTAAAACAAATAGATTCCATGTTGCCGTGAGTCTGTTTAGTAATAGATCACAGAAGAGGTGAAAATGTGGTAAGAACATCAGTGACACCCTCGCCTAACGGCTCGTGTGACACATTTTTATTTTTAACACATCTGTGATCTACATCTATGATGCAATCTATTTGTTAATCAGACAGTTTTCATATGCACTTCCACCTTTCCGTTTCCATGTTACCTGCCTGTAGTTCAGGACAATAAACGAATTTGATATAATCCCTTTGATAACAACGTAGAAGTCTTTCACCCTAAAAACAGTCGAAGCAAAATTTCCCGTATGGTCTTCAAGCTCACACTCCCCCC